TTTTTTGTCTTTTTGAGACAGGGTCTCGCTGTGCAGTTCAGGCTGGCCTTGAGCTCACTTTGTAGCCCAGGCTGCTCTCGAACTTGCAACCATCCTCCTGCCTCAGCCTCCTGAGTGCTGGGATTACAGGTGTGCGCCATCACGCCCAGCTAGTTTTACTTTTTATATTAAAGAGACAATGTGAAAAATATAACAATATCCTGTCTTTATCTAAGGGCCCATAAAGTTAGATTTGAGTAGCCTTACTGTTCTCTTCACTGTTTCCTTGCTTATCTCACCTTCTCAAATATTTTAGGACCTCTGTAAAGGGACTGAATTATTTCTTCACATAGAGGGGAGTTTATTAAATGTACATTAATAGCTTTGGTGTCAGCTGACTGTCTGGTGACTTATTTCTAGTAGGCCTGGGAAGTCACATTTAGCAACTTTGATGACAAAGCAAGTATCATCAGTGTTGTTTGCCTATATAGTATAGCAAAAACAGTAGTCAGGCTTCCTAGGAAACAGCGTAGGAAAGCGTAGCCTGGGGAAAGTTTCTAGCTCTTCTATCTGAATCATCCACTCAGAATTCAAGGCTGCCCTTGCATTCAGGAGAACCAAACCAAGGCAGAAACACAAAATTCATGACAGCTTCCTAAATCCATAGACATCTGTCCTCACAACCTGGAAAGCTTGCCCCTGGACTTGACTAGACATTGTTTAAGAGTCTTTCAAAGCAATGTCAGTCCTTAGAAGGAAGATGAAAAATTAATTCAGGACAATTATGCCCTTCCCTGGCATAAGCCTTAGCATCACCTGAATCTCTATTCGGTTTTACATAATTCCATAAATTGTGTACCTAGTGCCTTTACCAAATTTTCCAGAATATTCAGTGGTTTCATTTAAATAGCAGTTAATTCCAAAGAAGACATATAAATGGCCAACAAATATATGAGAAATATGATCACCACAAATCATCAGGAAATGTAAATTAAAACTACAGTGAGATACCATCTTACTCTAATAAGAAGGGTCATTATGAAAAAGACAAAAGATAACAAATGCTGGCAGTTTTATGGAGAAAGGGAACACTTGCACTCTGCTGATGGGAATGTAAATTAGTGCAGCCATTATGGAAAACATTATGCAGGTTCCTAAAAAAATTAAAAATAGAACTGCCACATGATCCAGCAATCCTGCTCCTGGGTATGTAACCAAAGGAAATGAAATCAGTATGTCAGAGATACATCCGTACTGCCCTTTTTATTGTAGTACTGTTCACGGCAGCCAAGAAGCTCAAATATCTTAAGTATCTAGCTTGACAAAAGGATAAAGAAAAGATGGGTATGTATACACAATGGAATATTACTCAGCCATAAAAAGGATGTGATTCTATCATTAGCAACAACATAGATCATTATGCTAAGTGAAATCAGTCAGACACAGAAAAACAAGTTCCATATATGATTTTACCCATGTGGAATCTAAAAAAGTTCATCTAGGCCTGACATGGTGGTACACACCTGTATTCGCAGCACTTGGGAGGCTGAGGCAGGAGGATTACCATGAATTTGAGGCCAGCCTGAGGTACGTAGCGAGACCCTGTCTTACCAAAAAAAAAAAAACAAAAAAAACCTTGATCTCTTGGAAGCTGAGAGTAGAAGTAGAATGGAGGTGACCAGAGGCTGGGAATAGCAGTAGCAGAGGAGGAGAGATATGGAGAGGTTCATCAGTGAATACTAAGTCATAGACAGAAATGAGACATTTTGATGTGCTGCTGCACAGCAGGGTAACTATAGATGAAGTTTGTACTATATATTTGAAAAAGCAAAAAAAAAAAGATTTTGAATATCAAAATCAAGAAATGATAAATGTCAAGGAGATACTTGTGCTCACCTGATTTAAACATTATATAATATATATGTGTGTGTGTGTGTGTGTGTGTGTGTGTGTGTATGCATTGAAACATCACATGGTACCCTATAAATATGTTCAACTTTCGTTTTTATGTGTCAGTTTAAGAATGAATTTTATTTTGTTTTGTTGGTTTTTTTTTTTTTTGTCTTTTTGAGACAGGGTTTTACTACACAGTTCAGGCTGACCTTGAACTCACTTTGTAGCCCAAGCTGGCCTCGAACTTGCAGTGATCCTCCTACCTCAGCCTCTGAAGTATTAAAAATAAACTTTAAACATTTCTTTAAGCACTTCAAAAAACAAAATAGAGCCGGGCGTGGTGGTACATGCCTGTAATCCCAGCACTTCAGAGACTGAAGGCAGGAGGATTGCTATGAGTTCAGGGTCACCTGGACTACATAGTGAATTCAATTGCAGCTGGAACTACATAGCGAGACTCGGTCCCAAAAAAGAAAAATTGTCAGTTCCTAGCACTGCACACCTGCTTTTCATCTAGGAATGTTCATTGAGAAGGGTTTGGAGAATGGCAGTCCTGCTCTTCCCTTACTTCTCAGAGGCCAGCAGCTGTCCTAATCCCTCTGTATCCTCACCTTTCATTACTAGGGCCGTTTGCTGAACCTAAGCTGCTCCACAGTGCCTACATTTGTGCTCTCAATCACTGCAACTACTCAGGTAAGGCGTCTGAAGTGGAACAGCACTGGGCAGGAGAAGGGGCCTCAGACCAGCAGGGTCTCACCTGATACAGGGTAGCCTGCTGTGAACACCGTGTCAGTATTCACCTCTCTACTTTTCTAGGCTCTTGCCTTGATAGAGCTTTACAATGCTCCTGAAGGTCGATATAAACAGGATGTCTACCTGTTACCCAAGAAAATGGGTAAGCACGTACTTTTTCTTCCCTATTCTTACCGAAGTAGCTCAGAATCAGGGACTAAAAGACGCTTGGGGGGAGGGGTAAAAAAATAAAGATATCTTTATCTTATACAATAGGAGCTAGGATTCCTAGGTTCCATCCACATTTAATTTACCCCATTTTCCACATGAGTTACCATAGTGAATTTCTTACATTTTGCTGTGGTTTAGTTTATCTGTCTCTGAATTTTGAGGACTTTCTCTATTAAAGTATATTGTATGCAACAATCTCAAAGGAGAAAAACAAAAAAGATTCCCCCCAAAGAAAGGAATCATCTCCTACCTTTTGGTATCTGATTTATTCCATTTCTAGGCTGTTAAATAGCTCTGACTTTCAAACTACACCTTCTGAGCCAGAGATTTAGCTCAGTGGCACAGCACCTGCCTGGCAAGCATGAGGTCCTGAGTTCACTTCCCAGTGCCCCCCCGCCAAAAAAAGCCATCAAACTACACCTTCCAATGCTAGCCCTATTGCTTGTGGCCAAAGAGACTAGGAGTAGCTCCTATTAAGTTAAGTTTTGTGGGTATTGGTGTAAAAGAAACATTAAAATTTTAAAGTGCTTGCCACAAGCACCTGAATGTTACAGTGTGTTTATAAACCCCTCAGACAAATATCAGAATAAATCACCTCCTGGTTTTATTTCACCAATTGTTAGAAGTTGATGTATTTTTTATTTAAAAGAATATAAAATACACAATCCATATTCTGATTAGATATATAATGAAGTTGGGGAAACAAACAAATATATAAGAAAAAAAAAAGAAAAAAAACAAATGTATAAGAATATTTTGAATATTGTGAGTAAGTACAATGCATTCAGATAACAAAATATAAACAGAAAACTAGCCAGGTGTGACGGCGCATGCCTGTAATCCTAGCACTCAGGAGGCTGAGGCAGGAGGATTGCTGGGAGTTTGAGGCCAGCCTGGGCTACAAAGTGAACTACATAGCAAAACCCTGTTTCAAAAAGACCAAAAAAAAAGAAAAAAGTAAGTACTAAAAGCAGAGTCAGCAGGTGGCACACATCTGTAATCCCAGCATTTGGGAGGCTGAGGCAGAAGGATTGTTGTGAGTTTGAGACCAGCCTGGGCTACAAAGTGACCTCAAGGCCAGCCTGAACTGTAGAGTGAGACCCTGTCTCAAAAAAGACAAAAGAAAAAAGAAGGGGGTGGGGATTTAGCTCAGTGGCACAGCGCCTGCCTGGCAAGTGCAAGGTCATGAGTTCTATTCCTGGTACTGGAAAAAAAAAAAAAAGAAGTACCAAAAGCAAACTGTAGTATTTTCAGTTGAAACTTTCTAATTTTCTCAGGTGTTAGCTTTTCTGACTGATCTAAAGTGTAGAGTCCAAGGCAAAACTAAGGTTGGAGCTTCCCATTTTTCAGTCCCCTCACTATCCCATTCTTTCTCTAAACCCTAAGGATTATTGCTTCTTTCATGTCTCACCTTTCTGGAGAAAAGAAAAGGTTCAAGACTGGAAGAGATGGTGAGGAAAAGATGTTATAGCTTTGAAAGGCACTGGGCTTAAAGCTGAAGGCAGCCATCCCTTAGAATTGAGAGCCAATAAGCAAAAGTTAAGCATATTTCACTCTGCTCCAGGAATCCGAAAGTGTTTTCCAAATGTTTACATCCTTGTCTGGGAAGTGGAGAACAGCCAGACAGGAGGGGTGAGTGCTTATACCAAGTCTTCTGTGGTCTGTTCCAGATGAGTATGTGGCGAGTCTACACCTGCCCACCTTCGATGCCCACCTGACAGAGCTGACAGATGAACAGGCCAAGTATCTGGGACTCAACAAGAATGGGCCCTTCAAGCCTAATTACTACAGGTGCCTTGGGCTCCCCAGAAATCACGGAAGCCTAGGTGGTCAAGAACTTCCTGCACTGGAATTGGTCTTTGCATCTCTCACCATATACATTTACATGAACTCAGGAAAATAAACTGGCTTTCCCTCAGTTCACCTCCAAAGAACTCTTTGAGACCTTTCTCAAACATTAAGTAATATTCCCCTTCCCAAGAGGTACTGGCTCCTTTTCTACTCCAGGCTGGCCTCAAACTCCCAGCAATCCTCCTGCCTCAGATATAAAAAGGAGCCATAGTTACCTACACTCCAGAAAGGCTTCTGCTTCTTTATTACATCTTTGGGCAGGCTCTTCATGTTCCAGCATCCTCACTAGCTGATAACATCACCCTCTCCTGTTTCTTTTTCCCTCCAGGTATTAAGTTCCTGTAACTGAAGCCAGAAGAAGTTTTAAGGAAGAGTTCCAAGCTTTTTCTCCATTACTAGCCAAGAAAGAACCCAGCAAGCTGCTTCTCTGATCAGAGCTGCCCGCCGTGCTCACCCTGTGTGTTAGGTTATTTATTTATTAAAATCTAGATTCCTGTGCCTGTAGCCTTGGCCCAGAGTGTGGTTACTGCTCTACGGGCCATGAGAGCCACAGAGGACTGAGGAAGGAAAAAAATGGGGTAACCTTTCCTACTACATCATTCACTTTGTCCCCCATTGAATCCTCAGCAGTGGCCATTTTTCTCTTGTGCAGGCTCAGGAGTTAGCCCAGGGATTCCAGACTCCTTCTCTGGGGTTTTCTGGAATAAATTTTCAGCAGCTGCCTTTCTCAGCTTTTGCCCTTTCCAGATGAGGCCTTTTGGAAGCCACCAAATTAACGTGACCTAGGTTCCCAGCCTTGACCATCAGTATCACTGCCTTCTTTATAAAAAAGGCTACTAAGGAAGGAGTGTTAAGGCCTTGGCAAGCTGCCCCAAAAACTCAGCTGAGCCTGTGCCTGTGCCTACTGAGGCTTCCTCCTTCACCTAGGACTCCTTCTCGTTGAATATGTCCATTTTAATGATTTCCAGTTCCAAGATGGATATGCCTCCATGATTTCTTCAACAGCTCTGGTGTCTGTTAGACATATGTTTTGCCATCTTTCTAATCCCACCAAACTCTGCTTAGGAAGTGGAAGCCAGCTTCACTGGGAACCATAGTTTTGCTTCCTTGTCACTTAATGGAGTTTCCCAGGAAGGCCCCTCCAGATTGATACTGTCTCAGAAAAGGAGGGCTTGTTGTAGAACACTGCTTCTTGAAACTTGCTGTTATTGCCTAAAACTGTTTCTGAAACTGAGTAGGGAAAGGCATACTTTCCCAAGGATTTGTAGGGGTAAGGCCTTGGAAATGGGACAGGTCTTTCAGGCCTACAGCTTGATACTCTAAAGAAGCAGAGGGGCTGGGGATTTAGCTCAGCGGCAAAGCGCCTGCCTGGCAAGCGCAAGGTCATGAGTTCGGTACCCGGTACCAGAGAAAAACCAAAAAAAAAAAAAAAAAAAAGAAGAAGCAGATATGTTTATTTGTTTCCCTGGAAAGAACTTGCATCTGGCTGAGAGATAAAGAAATGACACTATAAGCTGTCCAGATGATCAAAGCTAGTTTGACTAGTTTGAACCTCATCAGACATTCATCCTTGTGACCATTGACATTGATGAAACCAAGATCTGCAATCTGATCTGTGTTTTCTCTGTGGGTATCTCTTTATGATCCAACCTCTTCCCTTTAAGGATTAAGTTTCAGAGATGGTTTCTTGAGTAATTTCAGCATTATAAAAAAAATTTAATAATATGAGCAGCATGAGATTTTATATTCCTTCTAAGAGTTGGCTTCTTTTCTGAGACTCAGTTGCTGGTTTAGAGGTTTGGGGTAGGGGGCAGAAAGTCTGGAGTGACCACAGGAATCTTGAAATGAGTCTCTCTTACCCCAGCCAACTCTATTGAACACTTTCATGTTTGTTTGCTTTCTTTTTTTTTATTTTTTATTTTTTTATTTTCCTTATGCTGGTCTGCTTCAAAGTCTCAGGACTAAGGTGATTCAAGGAAATGCCAGACCACCCAGAATCACTATAACCTTCCTATCCTGATCCTTCTCTCTTGCCACTGTCCTCACCAACTTCCTCTGGTCTTAACATTCACCCTGGAGCTAGTCTGGAAGTGCCCTTACTTTTGGAGATAGGGAGAAGGAACTAGGATAAATGGCTGTTTGTCTCATGAAATAGTATACAGGCTCAGCCCATAGGGTCTGGTTCTTCAGGGGTCTCAGCAGTGCCACATACATGGCTATATTCTTTTTGATAAGGAAGACCATAAATGCTGACAATTCCACTAGGCTACTCAATTCTATTGCCTGCTCAGTTCTGACTTTTATATTAATTAGTTGAATCTCTTTAGCAAGATTCAGACCTCTGTACCTCATCTCATGTTCAGAGCTGATTCCATTAGGCAGGTATCTGGACTCTAGCCTATTATATGTTCTTAGACCAAAAATCATAGCCTGTTGTTTCTCAACAAAGCCTTGGTCTCTATAGAGCTTACTATGTGCTGGTACTTACAGAGTACACTCTGCCTCACTATTAGGAAGAGACCCACTTCAAATAGTAAAAGAGCCACAAGGGCTTCTAAGTTAGCTTCCCAGTGTTGCTGCCCATGGTGAAGTATTTGCCTCTGAGTTTCTTTTCTTTTCTTTTTTTGTCTTTTTGAGACAGGGTTACACTATGCAGTTGAGGCTGGCCTTGAACTCACTTTGTAGTCCAGGCTGGCCTCGAACTCGCAGTGATCCTTCTGCCTCAGCATCCGAGTGCTGGGATCACAGGTTTGCGCCCACCATGCCTGGTGACTCTGGGTTTCAGATGATCTCTCTCCCCATCCCTCCCCCTCCTCCTCCCCCTTCTCCTTCTTCCCCCCCCCCCCCCATCATCAACCATTAAGAATGAAGAAGCCCAGATCTCCTGTTGGGTTAATCTTAGTGTTGGATCTGATTATTATTGTCACTACCTGTGGAATCAGAGCAAATATGTCTTTTTTCCTCCAGCCTCTTAGATGCATCCTAGCTCAGGAGGCAAGGGAAAGAAGGGTAATTACTTCCTTGTATATGGCCCTGGCCTGTAGGGATACATACCATTTTATTTACAATGAATTTGTGCAAGTTTCAAGGTCTTTGCCTTCTTAATGGAAATAGTTTCCTTTTTCTCAATAAAAAAAAATGCTTCTAGTTTACGTTCCCTCTGCCCTTCTTTCTCCCCATCCTACCTCCAATCTGAGCACGGCTGCCCATGGCCACACTTCTGCAAAGCTTTTTTGCTGCTTGGCTTTTCTTTGAACAGATCTAAAATTGCTGCTCCTATGGTTTTCTCAAAATTAACTTAGTCATGGTTTAAAAAAAATAAAAATGCATTATTGCATTAAGCTTTTTAATAAAGGAAAATTATGGAAAGAAAATAGGCAACACCAGCAAATTATATGTGGACAAGTCCTAAACTATATATACATATATATAAAATGAATCATCTAGTTCTCACTGTCATCTTACTGAAAGGAATAAACCTCTAATCACTATTTCTGAGAACATCTTGGAAATCTTTATGTCTAAGTGATTGTATTAGATCAGCAATAATGACTATGTAATCTCAAAAGTCTAATAAAATATTCTTAAAATGAGTTCTTATCTTGGATTCTTGCTTTTATAAATGAGGAGTTCGGAGCTAAGGCTGGGCCACAAGCTATAGGGCAAGAATGAGTCTGCTATAGGACAAGAATTTAAAAGCTCAAACAGTTGCCAGTGGACAGTTTGAGTGATCATTCCCTAGAGATCCTTGTTCCACTAATAAATATCTGTCCCTCCCACCACCCATCCCAGCCTGACATATGCGCTAGCTCTTATGTGTGAAGAACCACTACTCTGGGGAGGTGAGGATTATAGGTTTAATTAAGGTTGTGAGACTGAAGTATGGTTTTACATCCCTCAAGCTCTCTGTGTGCTGCTTAACTAGAGAGTACAGGAAGTCAGCATCCCCACAACTTGGGATCAAAGGACCCAGACACTGAGGACCCAGTTACATCCAGACAAGGGAAAAAATAAACAGGCAGAGGTTTATCCCTAAATCAGGTAACCTGATTTAATAAGTAGAGAATGAATCCAGTTGCCTGTTATTTCTCAACTAGCAGTAGGGTAGCTTTCTTCTTTAGTTAACAACCTAAACTAGTTCCACATCTCGTGGGCAAGAGGTTTTCTTCCCTATAAGAATCTTCTGCCACGTTGACTACTAATTTAAATGAAGAGCCACAGGACTAGAATAGTCTGGGCGGTTGGTAGTGTCTCAAGCTGGTACCATTCCAGTTAGAGAATGCAGCTGCTAGCAATGAAGCCCATGAGTCAGCTGGCTGGATCTGTTCCCCTCCAGCAGAGTTTGATTCCTCTTTTGTGAAGAATAGACAAGTACCTAGGTCTTAGTTTTAGATTCACAGGATCAGCCCAGGCTACCCACTGTTAGGCAAGTTTCTCCACCTCACAGAACTGTAGACAGAACTTGGGCCTCGAGTCAGGCTAATTTAGTTTTTGTTTTTTTTTTTTAAACAGGGTCTTGCTATGTAGTTCAGGCTAGCTTTACACTTACTATGTAGCCCAGGCTGACGTTGAACTTGTGTCAGTCCTCCTGCCTCAGCCTCCCTGAGTACTGAGATCACAGGTGTGCCCCACCCTGCCTAGCTGCTAATTTGGATTTGAACTCTAGTTCTGCTGAGTTGTGTAATTTGCCCAAATTATATAACCAATCAGAGCCTCAATTTTCTTGCCTATAAAATGGATAATGCTTATAGGGTAGAGATTTAATATCCTGTTGTATAACAAATATTGCTTAAAGAACCAAGTACACCCTGCTTGCTTTATTAACATCACTTTCTTGTCTCAGTCTGGGGTCCTACAGCCTCCATCACATTACACCCACACATGCCCTTTACAGGGAAAGGAGGGTGTTATATCCTTTCTCTTCTGTATTACCCTAGCTGCCTAATACCCTCAAAAACAAGGTACTTTAAGATGTACTGCGTCACTGTATTTTTAAGCGTCCTCGGTGTTGGATGCTTCTATTTAATCAAATATTTGACCCCCATGGATTAAAGTGCTTAAATGAGAAAGGTATGTTTGATCCTTGTAACTATACCTATTTATACTTTCAGCCCTCTGCCAGTAGCCTGGGTTTAGGGATAAAACCTAAGATTTAGGACATGGGAAATTAGTAATGTAGGTTTTAAAATAAATTTAAAATAACCCAGCCCTGGAGCCATCTGCAAAATGGGAAGACATTTTTGTAGACCAATCCTATTAGTTCCCACTTATGGATGTGATACATTGTACTGACGACTGTCACTCCCTCATTGGCAAATAAGCTAAAAGAAATTTCATGTGTTCCAATTTCATGGCCTATAATAGTTTCAAAGTTTTCAGTTAATCTGTGGTTTTTCCTTACTTCTTCCAACTTTTTTTCTCTCAGATTATCTTCTAAATTTTGAACATCAGGACCTCTATTGAGCAGAGCTGATCTTTACTGTCTTCCATTCTACTGGACTGTGCAAAAGAGCATGATTTCTTTGCAGTCTCCACACCACCAGTTTTTCAAATCTGTTCTCTAAAAGTAAGGCCATAGAGAGCTGTAGGCTCAGCAGTTGGCTTTAGATAGAAGCCAAAGGGAATCCGAGTGCTGACCTCAATCCTCCCAAAAAAGTGTGTCCTCTTGCCTTTAGGGACAGGCAGGAAAAGGGACAAAGCCTCAAAAGTGGCTATGGTGGGGATTCCTACTATACTGTTGGGGATACTTCTGACTGATGAGTTTCAAAAGAATATGAAGGTCTGGTCTTGTCAATCCTAGAGCTCTGACTGCTTAGAAGGAGAGGTACTGGGAAGAATAAAGTAGATAATGAGTTATTTTTAGTGGGGAACCCAATAGCCTATCCTTTGGCAGGTTCATCACACCAAAGAGATGATGAGGTAGATGTGGGTGGTGAATTTTAATTCAAAGTACAAGTTTTTAAGAATTTAAAGAATTCTACCCCAGAAAAAAAATTCCAAAATCAAATAGTTTAGGCCTTGAGTGAAGGGCTTTCTTGGAAATTCACATTAGTTCACTTCTGTAAACCAGGGGATTTCAACAGAGGTTTTGCTCCCCAGGAGACATTTTGCAATATCTAAAAACAATTTTTGGTTGTCACAACCAAGGAGTGGGTACTACTGACATCTCAGGAAAGGCCAGGGATTCTGCTAAACATCCTATAATGCATGGGACAGCCCCCCTCACATAATTTCTCAACCCAAAATGTCAATACTGCAGAGATTGTGAAACTTGGCCATACTCCCACACAGCTTACATCCCTGCTGTTTGGTAGGTATGGACAGGATTCAGAGAGGAAAGAGAAGATGTGAGGAGGTAAGGAGATTTTGGGGAATTCAGACAGAAAGAAACCCAGAAATTTCCAAGGCATGCTCTCTCTCAAGCATGCCTTGATCTGTTGCCTACCAACTAGCAGAGGGAAGAGGGAGGGACAGACATGATTAGAAAGGAATGCACTTGTCCCTACCATATGGAAAGGGTAAATAATTTTGGGCTTCTTGTTTTTGGGGAATAGTGGGAAATGCTGATTTAGATTCTGGTAAAGTTGGCTTGACACCAACATATCCTGAAGGGAGTGAGGATGGTTAAAAAAGAAAGAAAAGGATTTCTAGGTCAGCAGGAGGATGTGATAACTAGAATCTGTAAAGAAGGAGTCAACCAAGAAAACAAAAGTTTCCTTCAGAGAACAATACCCTCTGAACACTGAGGCAAGATACAAGGTTGCAAGGCACCGTGAGAACTAGGAGTATTCTGTGAATCCAGGTTTTCTCATCCGTAGTAAAAGTATTGGTAAAAATAACCTGCCAGAGAGAGGTGTGATAAGGTATCTAGAAAGCTTCTAGTGCAGCACAGAGCATGTTCAACCCGCCCCCTCCCCCTTCTAAAGCAACTTGGCCTTGGCTGTGAGATTTGGTTCCACCCATTCCCTTCCGCCTGCTTGTCTGGGGCATCCATTACTCAGCCAGAACTGCCAAATATTTACTACAAGCTGCCTTTTAGATAAATTCTAGAGGACGGACCACAGACAGATCGCACAACCTCCACTGCCCTGGTAACACTGAGCCCCTGGAAAGGATCTTAGGAGAAGGGAGGACGGCAAAGGGTGGGGGCGGGTGAGCCTGGGGTTACTATCTATTCACAACGCTAGGAAGGTATCCATACAGCAGAGAAGGGCAGACAACCAGTAACAGCCCTCAAATGCATCCGCGATTTCAGAGAAGTACAAAGACCCCCAATCCCGCCCCTCACCGCATCTCCCAGCCAGCCGGGATGGACGTATTCTCTTGAGAAAGCTTCCAAAGAGGCCGAGTTTCTCATTTCCTGCTGTGGCCCTGGCCTCCCTTGAGACTAAGTGGGATGTGTGGACGTGCCCTGCAGCTGCGATTTGGGGGTCTGGGTCTGCTGCAGTGGAGCAGGAGGCGGAGTCTAGAGCTCCCAGAAAAGGGGGCTATCTGGGAGGGGTGGGTGCTAAGGGACACCTTGCGAGAAGCTAAGAACTAACCTGCCTGCGCTCAAAGTCCGGAGTTCTGGAAGTGGGGAGGGAGCCAACTCAGTAGTCCCTGGCTACCCGCAACACCGCAGAAATAAGGGGGGGGAAAAGGAGCGGGATATTCCTTGAAAGAGCCCCCACCTCCTCCAAGTCCCGCTTCGACGCGTCGAGCAGCCAATCGCGCTGTGGGGCGGGGCCGCGTCAAGCGATCACAGCCAATAGCGACGCAGAGGGTGGGGCCTGGCTCCGGGCGCGCGGCGGCGGGGTCGCCCGGGCCAGAGAGCGCCGAGCGGCTGAGGCGAGCCGCCGACCAGCCACATGGAGGAACCAGGGGCGCCCGGGGCCGGGAGTCTGCCTGCCAATGGCAACGGCAATGGAAATGGCAACGGCAACGGCAACGGCAATGGCAAAGGGAAGACTGCGGCGCCCAAGGGTCGGGAAGCGTTCCGCAACCAGCGTCGGGAGTCTGAGGTGAGGAGCCCGAGAGCTTCGGCTGGGGCCGGGAGAAGCCGGAGGGCGGGAGGCGCGGCTGAGGTGGCTGGGGCTCTGCCCGGAGCCCCGGGTCCCGGCGGCCGCGGGGTCCGCCGCAGCTGGACATAGCTGTGCAGCCGCGACGTCTCCCCAGCGCCTCCCGGCGAGGCTCGGGGCTCCCCGCTCCTCTGGGAGCAGAGGTGGCGCCGTGGCGAGCGCCCCACTCACGTCCCAGGTGTTTTTCTCGCTGGGTCGCTGCAGCCCTTGAAGCGGGAATTGAGACCCGACTGAGGGGCGGGCAGGGGCGGCGCCCGGCGGGGGTCCAGGTTGGCCGCGGGCTCCTGCCCTGCCCTTCGCATCCCTCCCGCGGACTCTGGCCCCGCCTGCGAGGGTTAGAGGAGACCGGTCCGGCACGGCCGTATCCGAGTGGGTGTTTGGACGGACTGACCTAGGATACAGCCAGGACGGTGAATATTTAGGTCTCCTCTTCTAAAAAAGAAATCCTAACTAGGACGACGAAAGGCCTGGATTATTATCACAACCCCACACCCGCACCCAGCCTGCTTCTGTCCACTGGCCACGCTGTAGGACTGGATCAGAGGGGCAGTAAGGAGAAGAGACCAGCGAGTGTCAAGTGTGGAAGAGTCCGGAGATGTTCGGGGCCGGCCCTGTGGTTTCACAGATCTTGGGCCACCTTGCCTAAGATCAGACACCTGGGTTGGGGAGTGGCCAAGAGCACCGCGCTTGTGGATCTGTCAGACCAGATTTTGAATCCCAACACTACCGTGTACTCTCTGGCTTTGGCAAAGTACCAAACCTCCGTGAACTCCAGTTTCTTCACCTGTAAAATGGGTTAACACCTGCCTCAGAAGGTTGCGAGGAAGTCAAAATGAGATAACAGAGTATAAAATATATAGTATAGCTCATGAAGTTAGTAGGTCCGTACCTCGTGAGTCTTCGTACCATATTACTATCGTCACCACCACCAGCACCACCATCATATGGCAGAGCTGGTATTAGAAGCCATGTTTTTGGCATCCAGTCCACAGTTCAACCATTTGAATAGAATTTCAGTTTCCCAAGTGATTTTGTGTGTGCTTCTATTTTGATATAAGCAGAGTAGGAATATCCCCTTTTTACCCTCTCCCTCTTTCTTTCTCTCTTCCCCGTTCCCCTTCTTTTTATTTGTTTTTGTTTTGGTTTGTTTTGGTTTGTTTGTTTGTTTGGTGAATCAAACCCACAGCCCCGAAAATGCTAAGTGTGTGCCAGAGTGCTGGGTATAGGGGCCTGGCTCGTTCTCTCTCTTCCTCTCTCCCTCTCTCCTTCTCTCCCTGTCTCCCTCCCGCTCTTCCTCTCTCCTTCTCTTCTTCTCTTCCTCTCTCCCTCTCTCCCTCTCTCCCTCTCTCTCTCCCTCTCTCCCTTTCTCCCTTTCTCCCTGTCTCCTCTCTCTCCCTGTCTCCCTCTCTCCCCTTCTCCCCCTCTTTCCCTCTCTG